TTTGTGATTGCTTTCTTATTAATTTCATATTTTTTTTATTATGACATGTGGGAAATAGTTTTAAATTGGAAAAAATAAAAAGTACTCATGAATTAAAATGGAAATGTGTTTAACTTATGTGAATTAGGATTAACAAGAAGGATTAGTTCTTTAAAACATGCTGAATGAAGGTATGAATTTCTGCTAAGAGAAAGTCTAATTTATATCATGTTTGATTGGAATTAAAGTTTGAATTCTCATTAAAAAAAGTATTCATATTTATATTGTGTTTGATTGAAGTAGAGGAAGAGGGGGAATCCTCCAATTTGGAGGGGGGGAGTTGAGAGGGCATCCAACTAAATACGTACTTAAATACTGTTTGGTTATTAAAATATAATAGAATGAAATTGATTTAAAAAACTAAAATAGAAATAAATTAAATCACCATTCTCTTTATAATAAGCATGATAAATGTTATTATTATATATTATAAATATAAATGTGAGAATTATTATACCTTATAAAAATTTATGAATCAAGATTTTCAATCCTCATGAATTAAATTATTTTTTCCCTTGTAAATGTGCTTACTTCTCTCATTTGATCATTTTATTTTATTTTTTATTTTTTTCAATCCATCTCATTGTATTCCGTTTTAGTAAGCAAAGAGACTTTAGTGTTTTATTGTATTTTAAATAGGACTGGCTTCAATAAAAAGTATTTTGAGAAAAAAAAATAGAAGTGTTTAATATCCAACTATTGATGTTTATCCACTTTTTGCCCGGCTTGATACTTCCCTTCTTTAGCTCCTCTGTTATTTGTATTGTTTAATTAAAAAAATTATCAATTCACTCTCACTAAATCTATTATTTTTAAAAAAATTATTTTATATGTAACATATTATCCTATATATCCATGAAGAATCGTTATGTAAAATGATTTATAAAAACAATGATCAATTTTTGAAGGAAAAAAATAATAAAATTCTTTTGAATTATATAAATGCAATCGAGTCGCTCACTAAAGTCCTTAAAGACTTTTGTTTCATAATTTTTAAAGTCAAAAGATTATTTTACTTTTATTAAAAATAACAAGTTTCAATTATAACTTTTATTTAACAAATAACAATTTTTTTGTGAATTGCAAGAATTGAACAAGAAATTATAAGCCTATTTAGTAACCTCTTTTAGGAATAGTTTTCTATTCTCCAAAATAAAAAATAAAAAATTATATTTGATAATGTGTTTTTAAAAAGTGTTTTGAAGAACAAAAAAATAAAATATTATTCTAAAAAATAGAAAAATAAAAACATCTTTTAGGTGTTCTAGAACTATTGTCCTAGAAAATAAAAAAATAAAAAAAATACATATTTTTATTATTTTTTATTTTTAAAATATGTTTTACAAAATACTAATTCTCAAAATAATAGAACAAAAATAATTTCAAACAAGCCCTATAACTTGTCAAGTGTAATTTTGTCTCAAAATAACAAGCTCAATTACAACTTTTATTTAAAGAATAATAACTTTTGTTTTGTTAATAGCAAGAGTTGAACAAGAAATTACCACCTACTAATAAAAGTAAAATAATCTTCTTAATTTAAAATTTATTGATGCAAAAGTCTTTAACGACTTAATAAAATAATAATATTTTAAGGAATTAGATTCTTATGAAATTTTATTATCATTTTTATATTTTAATAAAAAGTATGGGTGTTCAGCTTGTACCTATCGTAATTGGCTCAGTATCATTCCAATCATATAGAGATGGGTCTCATCCTGGCTCAAAAATAATTAGTACAAGATTTTGTGCGATAGGATAAGAAAGAGGTTCGGTATGGAACAAAACGGGACACAAGATTATCATCAGAACATCCCGTCCCGTCCAAAATATTATATATATTATTTTTATTTTAAAAATATACATTAAATATATTAAGTATATTAATATAATTTATACTCATATTAATTATAATTTCAAGACTTGTAATTCTTATATAAAACTAAAGTTTTTTATATTGATAATTTTAATGGAATAGAGTAAACATGATGATATCTTTCTTTATAGTATATTAATTATATTAATACAATATATTCTTATATTTTTTTATTTAATAACTTTTATTTATATCATATTTCTTGTTTTATTTTTGAAAGAGTAATTAATTTAGCACATCTCAATTAAAGTAGAAGAATAATGATTTGATATTGTACTTGGCTTGCCTATTATTGTTACTCTTTTAACCTAAAAATTACTTATAATCACCATCATAATATGTAATTATAATTAATGTAATTCAATAATTGACTTTAAATTGTTGTGATTTATGTATTTGTGTTGTTTTAATTTTAAAGTTAATAAATTATATGATTTAAATTTTAATAAATGTTACTATTTAGATATTTATTTGACATTGTTCGATTTATCTAGACAATAAGACATTTTGATCTCATTCTAATTTCATCTTAATTTTTAATGGGATGAAATGACTTTTAAAATAGAATGAAACAGAATACTAAAATTCAATCTCATTTTTTTTTTTAAAACGGGATACGAGACAAGGTATCCCGATCTCATAACACCCTGCTAAAAAGGAAATTGCATATGAGACGGAGTATACATGCACCATCGGGCAGGTTCCTTTGGTCAAAGGAAATCATTCTCAAACAGTACCCACACAATTCTGCCCCTTCATCCACACCTTTGGTCAAATGAAATCATTCTGAAACAGGACACACAAGTTCCTCCACTTCATCCACACGACAATTCCAGCAAATGGTTGTTTACAACGGCGTGTTCATTAGGTCAAGAGTTAATTATGAATTATGAACCCTTCAAATTATTTTAAGATAATTTTTATTATTTATTGTAAATTAATTCTTAAATATTTTTAATATTGTATTTATTGATATACAAATTTATAAAAATTACAAAAAAATTAATATTAAATATTTACTGTTGATAAGCATTAGATTAGTCATTCCCATGAAATTTAAACTATTCATATTTAATTTTTATCAAAATTAATTTTTTATTTAATTTGTACTGACTAATTTAATATTAAAATTATTTTAATTTTTTAAATTAACTATTCAAATATCTTTTGGATAGTACATATATAATTTGGATGATCTAATTTAATATTATAATTTTTATAATTTTTATAAATTCACTATCTAAACATACTATGAACAGTATAAATTTAATATTATTTTACTATAAATTTTATAACTTTATTTTAATAAATATAATGTTCAAAAATTAATTTATAATAAATAATAGAAATTATTTTGAGAGAAATTAAAGGACCAGATCAATCCTTCGGTTGATGAGTGCACTCATCAGTGAGTGAACGCCAAATGTGAACGCTTACCAATGCCATGTGCCAACCCCCAAGCATAATTTAATTTATTTTATTTTATTTTTTTACTCTTTTTTTCCCTCCGTGATTGCCCTCAGACCTTCGGTCTTGTCTCCTTTTTTGTCGTTTTTCGGTCGCCGCAAAAGTTCGTGGAGGTTTGTAGAAGAGTCATGAAGATTGCTGCGGTCCTCAATTAACGTGTCATTTAAGGAAAGAGTCAACAACTTACTAAATTAATTTCCCGCTCATCATATATATGAATATTAAAATCTCATATCCATAAACTTACAATTTTTTAATTTTTACTTTTAAAAAACTTATTTTTTAAAAGGAATTAACAGTTAAGGGATTTTTTATTTTGAATTATATATTCATTAAATAATTTCGAAAAATAAAGTAAAAACTGTAAATCTAAACCTTTTAAATTAAATTTAAACAATTCAAAGACGATGAGATTTCAGTATTTATATGTATGATTATCACTAAAATTGATTCCAAAAACTTACACCTAATCTTTTGTCCATCGGTATCTCAACAATTTCAAATATTTTTAAAACACTATTAAATTATATTCCCTCCATTAAAAAATATAAAATATAAAATATTTTTTAAGGAGTTGGATATTTAAAAATATAAAATATTTTTAATCTTTTAAGATGTAATTATTGATTTTTCTTTAAAAGTATCCCTATTGATGAATGATTTTATATTTATTGTAGGATGTTTAATAGAGGTAAATATAAAAAAATTAAGTTAGTTTAAAAATAAGTAACTACTTTATTGGGAATGAGATTCAAATAAAAATGTCTTACATTTTTTAATGAATAGAGTATGAGTTAATATCTGTTTACATTGGTGGATTTGAATTAAAATTTAAAATTTAAAATCTCACAACTTTAAAATTCATACATTTAAAATTTTATTATTTGAATAGTATAAAAAATTTTAAATATTAAAAAAAGATGAGTTAAGATTTAAAATAGATAGAAAATTGAGACCGACAAGTTTATCTTTATTCTTTAATTAATGAGAGATAGAAAGGAGTGAGGAGAGGTAATAATAATAGAGACGTGAATAGCATGGACCAACCACATAATTGATAGAAAGATATTTTATTTTTCATTAATTAATTCACTAACTCTTTTATTTGTTGAAAGAATTAGAGAAGTAATTTAATTCATATTTTTAGTTTAAAATTAATGAAAGATAAAAACTTATATTCTTAACCTTATATACTTAAAATGTTTGTTTTTAATTAAATCAAAATATGAGCATTTATTATAGATTATTTATTCTATAAGAAATTTTTATTATTAATATTATTAACATATTAAAATTCACATGTTTTAATTTAATTCAATAAAAATATATTAAATATATAAAAATAAGTATATAAGTCTTGCTCTTAATGAAATTCACACGTTTTTTTCTGTATGCCAATTCAAACTTGAGATCTAGGTGACCAACTACAAATCTTCATGGCTCACATATTTTTATGATCACGCGAGCAACTACTATACATGTTTTCGATGAGGAGGACAAATATATCTTTTGACTTTTGCACCTCCGTGCGAAATCAAATTTAAATTATTATTCTAGCCCAAAAAAAAATTGAATTATTATTATAATTAAGTAATTTCGGACTTGTGATCGTCTCTTCCTATTTAAGTATTTATCTTCGGCAAGAGAGAACACGCAAGACAAGCAAAAATGGCGTCAACACAGTGCAAAAAGCATTTTATTCTGGTGCATGGTTCTTGCCATGGCGCTTGGTGCTGGTACAAGCTCAAGCCACGTCTGGAATCCGCCGGCCACCGTATCTCAGTGGTGGACCTGGCGGCTTCCGGCATCCACCCCGCCAAAATCGAAGACCTACATTCGTTGTCGGATTACTCTGAGCCTCTGTTGAAGCTGTTGGCCTCCCTCCCCGCCGGCGATGAGAAGGTGGTTCTCGTCGGACACAGCTATGGAGGCATGAACTTAGCCCTCGCCACCGACCTCTTCCCGGAGAAAGTAGCCGTTGCCGTTTTCTTAACCGCCTTTCTTCCAGATACCCATCACAGACCATCCCATGTCTTAGAAAAGGTACACTTCTCAGTCGTAAATTTATCATTATATAAATCATGTTAATTTGGTTAATTATGATTCATCATTATATATAGATTTGGATTCGGTGAGCTAGGCCACTCAATTAATGATATCTTATATGACATGATTACAATACTTCGATCTAATTAAATAGTTATTATAAATTTTATCATATAATATTAAAAAAATATTAAATCTTGCGTTTTGGTAGGGATCAATCGTGATTGTTCTAGTCATGATGATGATATTGGTTTGGATTATTGTGGGGAAATGTATCTTAATACTTTTTAAATATTAATAAAATCTAATTATTTTTCATTTAATCAATTTAAAAATAAAAGTAATTTTTTTCTCAATTTTCCTGATAACAAACCAAAGCAAATAATCATACTATAACATTTCATTACACTTCATTGCATTGCATTGAAAAAGATGATGTATAATTAAACCAAATGGACATTATATGTCTTTTTATGCTGTGGCTGTGCTATATCATTTAATATAAGTGGATGTTATGTTTATTTGATATAAAATAGGGAGAATGAAAAAGAGATCCTAAAAGAATTAATTAATTTAAGTTAGGTCTCAAGTTAAATTCTAATAATTTTGCAAATCTATCTCTCAATTTTGTAACTCTGTTATAATGAATTTACAACTTGTATTTCAAATTTTAATAAGAAAAATAAAGTTATTTATTCTTCAACTATGTTAAAATTTAAAAAATAAATTATAAATTAATTACAATGAAATTAAACAATTGAGAGATAGACTTGCAAATTATTGAAGTGTGGCACTTAAAAACTAACTTGAATTAATTAATCCTTTTAAGATCTTTCTATTATTCTTCCTATAAAATATTATATGGCATGAGCCATTATCTATACTTAAAAAAAAAATATTCTGACGTGAATTCTTGGAATTGAAACAGTTTCTAGAGAACATTCCAAATGATGCATGGTTAGACACAGAGCTCTCTGATGGTGGGATTATGTTGTTAGGTCCCAAGTTCTTGTCCTCTTATCTTTATCAACTCTGCTCCCAAGAGGTATTGGTTTGGGCTCGTTGAATTTAGAGTAATTCAATTCTAACTAATTTTTACATTTTAAGAACCTCATCAAAAATGACAATTATTTCTAGTTATAATGTTCTTATTAATGTTACATGTTGTCTTACATTTTTTTTTTTGGTAAAAATTTTGTCTTACATTTTTTAAACAAGTTATAATACTTCTAGAAGTTGATTCGTATTTACTGTATTTAGGCATGAAGGAAGTTTTCTTTTTGTCCACTTTCTATCTTGCTCACATATGAGAAGGGCTTTTTCACTAAAGTAGGACTTTTTGAAATACTTTGACGTTAGAAAAATAAAAGTAAAATAAAAATAGGAAAAAAAGAATACTAGAAAAAGAAAACTTTAAAAAATAATTTAAAAAATTGATGTTTTTCAGAGTACGTTTTTTTTTTTTGGAGTATTCCCTCATATTTTCTATTTTTTCTTCATCCAAATTTAGTTTAAGTGTTTATTTAATTGTTAGAAAGAAATGAAATTGGTTAATATAAAATAAAATAATATCATGGTCAATGCAATAGAAAGACAAGATTAGAGTCATAAAATGACACAGAAGTGAGAACTGGATTGACAATACTCTAACATCACTTGTAGTGATTCTCTTTTCTCTATCATTCATAATCTTTATCAATACTTAATTAACTTGTTTTAGTCCATTTATTTTTTATGGATCTATTTCATTCTACTCCGTTCATCTCAAATTATAAAGTATTTTAAATAAAATTTTACATATTAATAAACTTCATTAAATATACCTACAATCTTATATTTTAAAAAAAATATAAACTTTTAAAAATACCCATAATTCAATATATTGAAAAAAAAGGGATGAAAATTAATTATAGAAAAAGAAAAGATAATATTAAAATTTATACATTTAATGAAATTTTGATCTACCCAAAGTATCTTAAATTTTGAAATGAAAAACTCTTTCAAAAGCATCTTATAGTTTGAGGCGAAAGGAGTATTTCTTTTCAAAAATCACCAAAAATTAATTAAGATATGTCTGCAACCCATTTGTACATGATTCACATACATGTGTAGAGATATGATTCACCACCACAATCTCTTACTACAAAAAATGGTTGGAAAAAATAATTGAATATACATTTGCAGGATGTGGAATTGGCAAAGACATTGATGAGGCCATCATCGTACTTTGTAGAAGACTTGTCTAAAGCGAAAAAGTTCAGTGAAGAGGGATATGGATCAGTCCCGCGAGTTTTCATGATCTGCAATCAGGATCTGGGAATCACAATGGAATTTCAGCTATGGATGATCCAAAATGCTGGTGTTAATGAAGTCTTAGAACTCAAAGACGCAGATCATATGGCTATGCTTTCTAAGCCTCAAGAGCTTTGCGAACTTCTCCTCCAAGTTGTTTCTAAGTTCGCTTAAATCCAATGTTGCTGTGTTGCGTTTCTCTTTCGTTTCTGTTTACAATGGATTGGACAGATCAAGAGACAGAAACATCAATAAATTGGATTTCCCTGCAACTGTGCACATGCATGAGCATATTGTGTGTTTTTAGTTTACAGCTTTGTCAAAAAAGAAAAAAAAAACTATTATAAATATTATATCATGAATGTCCATAACTCATAACCCTTAAGATTCTTTTATCTTTAATGTCCTCATTAATAGCGTAGAAGGAGTTTTTTAGTCTTAATAGCTTATAACCTTCAAAAGTTACATAATGCACCATTATATGTCTCATTATATCTTTATAACATTAAGATAGAACTTGAATGGTTGGAAGTCTATAAATAAAAATCATGTCTAAAGCATATGTACATTAATGAATAAGAATTCTTTTTCATTATTTTCTCTCCATTTTTTGTATTGTCTTGCCCTTCTCTACTATTTATATTTACTATATTTTATAACAAAAACATACTTTTGTTGGGTTATTCACTCCGAGCCATTATGCCTGAAATATAAGCCCAACTATAAAATGAGGTTTTATTAGAATATGGAAAAGCCTGGGGTATGAGGTGTAATAAGAATGTGATTTTAAATGCAATATGCCCCTTCAGAATTCAAAGTCTTGGGAGGAGCCGTTATCACTCGTGCGCATCCAAAAACCGTGCCTATGTTTGCGGTATTGTATCGGTGTGGGTACGTGAAGCCAGTTGATTTTATATAAATGTTATATATATTCTAGTTTTTTTAAAATTTATAAAAAATTTATAGTATATATATCTTTTAATCTTGATGTCCATCATAATTAAACCCTAGCTCTGTCCTTGAGTGTATGCAGCTCTTTTCTTGAGTCATGCCATTGGTAATTCTAAAATTCTCATATAATTAAATTATTAAAGATTAAAGAGTATTATTATATTTTTTGTTTTTAACTGTTCACAATGTCGGATGTCTTATATTTTAAATTTTTTTCATATGATGTCACCTTTTAATATTTGAACTCGATGCAATTATATCCTTACAGTTAAAAAGGATGAGCTTGTTAGTTAACCTAGAAAATTAAAAAAAATCCCAAAAATCCCATTAAATGACCCTTTAAAAAAAAATTGAGTTTCTTAAATTATAAATAAATTTTTAAAGACTACTGTTATTTTTTACCCATATAAAAAACTAAAATAGCATCTTGACTAGTTATTTTGACCAACTATAGAATGATTATTGGATTATCATTGTTGGAAATAACAGTAAAAATTATTAAATATTAAAGTGTTAATATTTCAATATGATGTTATTAAAGAAAAAATATTATTTTTTAAAATTAATCACTAATATTGTTACTAATAATGATGACCTGTCAAAGTAGTTGGTCAGATATAGTATTAATTCTCTCTTATTTCGTTTTGCTTTCCATGAAAATTATTCTTTTTTCAAGTCTTTTTTTATATTAAAAGAGAAAGATTGTATTACAGCTCTATAAAATAAATTGTGTAATATCCAAAATGCCGCTCAGTACACTTTATTTTATTATTTTATTCCCGTGTCAAACGACCTATGGGTTGTGGAAAACTCAATCATTCATTATACATTTTTCTTAGATTATTTTTCATAAAATTATTTTTTTTTTGTGAAACAAACTCAATACTTACACATACTAATGATTAATTATAAAAATATTTTAATTCAATTTTTTTCATTTTAAATGTAATTATTATGCATAACCAAATTTCTTAAGCCGAATGATTGATTTGTTTTTCAATATGATTGATCTCAAATATAAAATGCTTGCACTAGTACAAAAGATGAAATTCAAGGGGTACTTTCTACATCGGTTGAAAGGCAAACGATGTAAAAAGTTAAGGCAGTGGCATTTTTGTAATTTTGATAATGCGTATTATAGTTTTTACACCGGGTGAAAAGGCAACCGATGTTAAAAATAATTTCTACACCGGGTGCATGGACAGCCGTTATAGAAAACTTATTTTCTACAGCGGGTGCACGGACACCCGCTGTAGAAAATCACTTTCTACAGCGGGTGAGAGGTGACCCGCTGTAGAAAGTGGTTCGAATTTTTTTTAACTTTTAATGCGCGCTTCTCCTTCCTCATTTTTGTGCCTTCAGAACATTCTTTTGTGCTTCCTTCCCTCGTCCCCTTTCCCATACTCCCGTCCTCGGCTCTTGCCCCCCGCCCCCCATCCCCAATCCCACCGCCCCTTTCCCCACCCCCCTTTGGCCCCTCCCCCCTCTCCAGCCCCCCCTCGGTCCCCACCCCCGTCCCCATCCCCCTCTGCCCCCTCCCCCTAGCCCCCTTCGGCCCCCAGCACCTACTCGATCCCCACCCCCATCCCTACCCCCCTCTGCCCCCCTCCCCCGTCCCCAGCCACCCCCTCGGCCCCCCTCCCCTGTCCCCACACCTCTCCCCCTACGGCTGCCCCTCCCCCCTTCTGCTGCCATTTCCTCCCCTTGCCTCTACCGCCTCCTCCTCCTCCTCCTGCTTGCTCCTCCTCTTATTACTGCCGCCACTTTTAATTGATTAGGTATGGCTCTTAATTTTTATAAAGATAATTTTTTATTTAATTATTTTTTTATTAATTTATTAAGCTGATATGTGTATATATATGATAATAATGATATTGATTATTGTTAGGAGTACTGTTAGTGGATTTATAAATCCTTAAGTTGTTGCATGTGATCTTTAATTTTATTTAAAATTATCAATTTTCTCTATTAAAATTTTTTAAAAGTCTTGGGAGGTCCAATTTTTAGGGGAGACTCTGTCGAAAATTTTTTAAATTCATTCTTTTCCCTTGAATTGCTTAAAATTAGTTTTTAAGAAGGCCTCATCAAGTTGTTTGCATGTGGTCATTTTTAAGAAGGTCCAATTTTTAACATTAGTATGTTCTTTAGGAGTTGACATATGGATCGTACTTAGATGAATGCTAGACGAATGAGTGATGAGTATGATAATGAGGTCAAAGAATTTTAGAATTTGCTAAGAAAAATGCTGTTGACAATAGTGCAAGGTTCTATTGTCCTTGTGTTAATTGCTTGAATGAGAGGAGATTAGGTGCTGCCGAAATAAGAGAGCACTTGATTTGTGATGGGATTTGCAAGAATTATACAGTCTGGATTTGGCATGGTGAACGATTGGAAAATTATAATAACACGTCTCAATATGTGAAAATTGATAATCTAGATGATGAAATAGATATGAATGAAGATCGGCTAAAGGACATGATCCGTAATGTGGGGGAAGAAGCTTTTGAATGAGCACATGTGTATGATAACTTGTGCACTGACACGGAGAAGCCTCTATACCCGAGGTGCACTGATTTTAGTTTGTTATATGGGGTGTTAAAACTGGTTACCTTAAAGGCAAGAGCTGGGTGGAGTGACCAAAGTTTCACTTGGTTGCTAGAGTTACTTCAAATAATGTTGCCAAAAGGCAATGTACTACCAAATCGTTATTATGATGCCAAGAAGATCTTATGTCCAATGTGTATGAAGTATAAAAAAATACATGCATGCCCTAATAATTGTGTGTTGTACAGAAAAGAACTTGAAGAGGAGAAGAAGTGTCCGAAATGTGAGGCACCACGGTACAAAGAGAAGGGGGCTCTTGCAAAGGTCTTATGGTATCTTTCAATTATACCAAGGTTCAAGCGCTTGTTTGTAAATACTAATGATGTGAAGAACTTGATGTGGCATGCAAATGAGAGGATATCTAATGGAAAACTTCGACATCCAGTCGATTCTCCTTAGTGGAAGAAAATTGATCAATTGTTTCCTGAATTTGGTAATGAGCCAAGAAACCTGAGGCTCAGACTTTCTACTGATGGAATGAATCCTTATAGTAGTCTCAGTAGTATACATAGTTCATGGCCTGTTCTTTTGGTGATTTACAACCTATCACCTTGGCTGTGCATGAAATGGAAGTACATGATGCTATCCATGTTGATTTCAGGACCAAAACAACCTGGAAATGATATTGATATTTACTTAAGACCTCTAATTGAAGATTTGAAAATGTTGTGGGAGGTAGGTGTGGAAGTGTTTGATGCAAATCGAAAGGAAAATTTTAAGTTACATGCTATGATCTTTTGTACTATAAATGATTTTTCTGCATATGGGAATTTGTCTGGCTATAGAGTGAAAGGTCATAAAGCTTGTCTAATTTGTGAAGAAAGCACAAACTATCATCAACTTCAACATGAAAGGAAGACAGTCTACCTTGGCCATCGGAGGTTTCTTAGACGAGATCACCCTTATTGTAAATTGAAGAAAGCTTTTCATGGTCACCAAGAGCACAATCATCCTCCGGATGCTTTGACTGGGGATCAAGTGTTTGAACGAGTGAAAGATATCAATATTGTCTTCGGTAAGACTAAAAAGAACATTGGTGCAAAAAACATATGGAAAAAAAGGTCTATCTTTTTTGACCTTCCATATTGGAACAATCTTAAAGTGAGGCACTGTATTGATGTTATGCACGTGGAGAAAAACGTGTGTGATAATATTATTGAACGCTTCTGAACATACCAGGAAAGACCAAGGACGGTGTGAACGCAAGATTGGATTTGAAAGAAATGGGAATACGAGAGGATTTACACCCGAGACCAAAAGGTAAGCGAACTTATTATCCCCCAGCCTCTCATACATTGTGCAAGTCTGAGAAAATAAATTTTTGTAAGTGTTTACATGAAATTAAAGTTCCTTCAGGGTATTCTTCAAATATTGAAAAGCTTGTGTCTGTGAAAGAGTTGAAATTGGTAGGCTTAAAGTCTCATGATTGCCATGTCTTGATGCAACAACTATTACCTTTGGCTATTCGAGGTATATTGAAAGAAGATCTAAGACTTACAATAACTAGACTCTGTTTCTTTTTCAATGCTTTATGCAGTAAAGTTATAGATCCCTGTAAACTAGAAGAGTTAGAATAAGAAGCTTGTATGATTTTGTGCCAACTTGAGATGCACTTTCTTCCTACTTTTTTTGACATTATGGTTCACCTAATAGTGCATCTAGTGAGGGAGGTAAAATTGTATGGCCCTGTTTATTTACGATGGATGTACCCAGTTGAGAGATACATGAAAATACTAAAAGGGCATGTCAAGAATCCATATCAACCTGAAGCATCGATAGTTGAAAAATATGTTGCCGAAGAAGCCATGGAATTTTGTTCTCATTACTTGTCAAGTACAGAATCAATTGGACTTCCTAAATCTCATCGTGAGAAGAGGCAATTAGGTCAAGGCACACGTGAAGTATCAGTAAAGAGCATGAGTCATGATGAATTACAAGAAGTACATTTATATATCTTGAATAATATTGATGAAGTTAAAGAA